AGGCTGTCATGTCTGTAAATTTGTGCACAACTGACAAACAAGAGTGTGTGTGTGCTTGTTATGTTTAGAGTGGTGTGTGGTTATTGACAAAGGTTTCCTTCAATTGTGAATGTCACACAACATGGTTGGTTTTAAGTTATCTCGACGTAGCAGCGTGTTGTATTCTGGCGATGTCTTATTTATATGTTTATGGAAGTGGTTTCCAAGAATATCTTTCACCTTTGAATTCTAAGTTCATTCAAAGTTTCCTTAGAAACAGTTTCGATTTTTCCCGATAGAATTGGAACGGCATGTTTGATTCACGTTCTAGGATGAATTTTATCAATAGGTGTGCTTGTGTTGAAAGTTTTGAGATAGTCTAAATCAAATTTTTCATTACGAATTAAAAAAAAGTATCATCGACGTATCTCGTGTATAAGTGCTGCTGACTGATCAAATGACTGAAGATGTTTTTTTTCTACAAGACTCGTCGTAATGCACTCAGTCAATGCATTATTCTAATTCTGTTCTGTTGCTTATTTCCATCTGTGTGTGACACAATGACTATATTAATGAGTTTGCTTGAGAATTCTATAAACCAATTACTACATTGTGAATTTGCAAAATGATTGGCGATTCGGATTTCGGCGTTATCGTCATAAAAACAAAAAAAACTGCTATTACAATACGCGTTGTTCTTATATCATTCTAAGTACAAGTTCGAGATAGTACTGAATGTGTGGAAAACTACTTCTTATAATTCGATTTGTGCATTAATTCCTTGGGTCTTTCAATAAATCCTTATACCTCACTAGCCAGTGCGTTGGATAGTATAGAGATAGAATGCCCATCAACCACGCCTCATGTGGTTTGGAGTTCGATCCCCGGCCGATGCACTCCTTGCTAAGCCAGTAATAGAGTAATAAAAAGAGAACGTTGAACATGAGGCTAGCAACTCCATCCCATAGAAATAAACACCACTGCTACCGAAACCTCAAAGCTCTAGCTACAAGTCCTCTGTTTCACTGGGAACGTAAAAACTGTCTGTCTGTTTTCGACACTGAACTTTGCACAAATGTGCGGCAGTTCAAGTCGCCACACTCCGTGTAGCGCGCGAAGCAAGAGAAGAAAGTACAAGAAAAGCATAATAGAGACAGTAAGCAGAGGTTCGAGACAAAGGAAGAGTAATAACGAAGAACAAAACAGTTTCATTGGTGGAGATCATAAGTCACAAGGCGTGGATGCATCTACGCCACTGAGAACGATTTTGAGCCATGTCATCAATTGTTTCCAACCATTGGTTTTTACCGTCCCGAGGACCCCAGCCTGGAAGTCTACACCTTTCTACGTGGCTTAGACCAACTGTTGTGGATTTCATTGACTGATGCCAAGTTTTTGTTTGACCTCCGCTAGCTTTTTTCCAGCCTGATCCTATATCCGCTAACATTGCTCGTCGAGGGAGGCGATGGCTTGGCACACGTAACACATGTCCTAACCATCTCAGTCTTTGTAGCTTCACGACTTCGTTGGTTGATTTCCCCTGTTTACCTAGAACTCTACGCCTAACCTCAATGTTGCTCACCTTATTATGCCACTTTACACGGGAAATAGAGCGCAGGCACCTATGATCAAAGACAGCTAGTCTTTTCATGTCTTCCACTCTGAGTGACCAGGTCTCACAACCATAAAGGAGGACGGAGCGGACTGATGAGCAGTACACCCGCCCTTTGGTCGATAGTCGAACATCTCGTCTACGCCAGAGTCGGCGTAAACTGGCAAATGCGAAGCTAGCCCTCTGTATCGGTGCGGAGATTTCGTCAGAGATCAACCCGTTGGGGCTGATGGTACTTCCCAAATAAGTGAAGCGGTCAACGTGCTCTACCACTTCACTTCCTATTTTTAAACTAGGCGTCGATGTAGTCCAGTCCTGTAACATCATCTTGCATTTGGCGGGAGCGAATCGCATGCCAAACATTCGTAGATTGCGGCTCAAGGTGTTTAGAAGACTTTGCATTTCGTCAGCGTCTTTGCCTAGAAGGACTATATCGTCTGCATATTCCAAGTCAACAAGATTATTCCCTGGAGCAAGTCAATCCCTGAGTCGTTGAAGTCACTTAGGGTTAAGTCCATTAACACATATATGATGGAGTTGAATAGATAAGGGGATAATGGGCATCCTTGACGGACACCACTGGTCGTCATCAGTTCAGATGACAGCTCGCCGTAAGCCCTCACCTGGCTGTATGAGTACGAGTAGAGTGCCTTAATCATTTCAATATATTTTCTCGGCATTCCCTTTACAGCCAAGCAATAAAAAAAACTAGCCTTAGTAGACTGTTAAGAAGAGTTTATGAATGCAGATGATGATACTACTGATAAATTTAATTGTAAGGCTTGGTAAATCAAACCGTGAAAAACTCCCTAGTTGTTAGAGAACTCTGTCCACCAGAAGAGACTTTTTTATGTGTACTAGGCGTCAAGAATCCCACTTATTTTGTTAGTGTTAATGATACCTACACCAAATGTCTGTTTTCGACATAGAACTTTGCACCGATGTGCAGCAGTTCAAGTCGCTATACTCTCTTCTTGTAGCACACAAACCCAGAAAAGAAATGCATAATAGAGATAGTAAGTTGAGGTGTGAGACAAAGGAGTAGTAATAACGAAGAACAAAATAGTTTCATCGTAAAGCATAAGTCACAAGGTGTGGATGCATGTGCGCTAGCTATCGAGAACGATTTTCAGAGATATCACCGATTGTCTCCAGCTTTCATTGGTTACTACAAACCCGAAGAACCCAACCAGAAAGTCTACACCTTCCAAAGTGGCTGGCTGGTTTAAACTAATTGTTGTGGATTTCATTGACTGATGAAGCCATGTTTTGGTTTGACCAACACTAGATCTTTTGTAACCTGATTGTATGTCAGCCAGCTAACATTTCCCGTCGAAGAAGGCGATGGCTAGGCTAAACATGTGTGACACGTATCCCAACCATCTCAATTGGTGTAACTTCACAGCCTCCTCGATTGATTTCCCCTCCTTACCTAGCACTTGACCGATGCCTAACCTCAATATTGCTCACCCTATTATACGAATTCAGACGGGAGATAGAACTCACACACCTATGATCACAGGCAGCTAGCCAGTCTTTTCATGTCTTCCATTCTCAATGAGCATGTCTCACAACCAGCCATAAAGGAGCGGACTTGTGAGCAATATACACGCCATTCGGTGAACAGCCAGCCGAGTATCACCTCCACTAAGCCAGAGACGACGTAAACTGGTAGATTCGGAACTAGCCTTCTGTATCCGTGCTGAGATTTCGTCAGCGATCAGCCCTCTCGTACTGGCTGATGCAACTTCCCAAATAAGTGAAGTGGTCAACATGCTCTATGACTTCACTCCCTATTTCTAAGCTAGGAGTCAGTGTAATCCAATCCTGTAACATCATCTTACATTTGGCGGGAGCGAATCGCATGGTAAACATTCGAAGATTGCTGTTCCTCAAGCTGTCTTGAGAAGACTCTGAATTTCGCCAGTGTCCCCAACTAGAAGGGCTATATCATGTGCATATTCTAAATCAGTGAGATTATTCCCTGGTAATAAGTCAATCCCTGTGTCTCTGAAGTGAGTTAGGGTTAAATCCATTATCAGTCTAAGATGAAATTGAATAGGAATGGGGATAATGGACATCCCTGACGTACACCTCCTCAGATGACAACTCGCCGTAAGCGCTCACCTGGCTGCATGAATGCGAGTAGAGTGCAATCTATTTTCTCGGCATTCACTTTACAGCCAAGCATCGCCGGAGTTCCTTTCGGTCTATGGAATCAAATGCCGCCTTCAGGTCAAGAAATATAATGATTGTTGGACGCCGGTAAGAGTGTCAATGTTCTAGAATCTGTCGAAGAGTGGAGATATGATCAATACAAACTCTTTCTGGTGTAAAGCCTGCTTGGTTCTCGTGTCTTTGCTTCTCGAGCACCACTTAGTCTACGCGTGATTATTGAGCCTAAGACTTTAGATACTATATTAGTCAAGCTAATCCCTCTGTGATTATCACAGGAAGACTTGTCTCCCTTCTTTTATATGGGGATAATCAGTGAATTACACCAACCCGATGGGACTTCCTCTGATTCCCAGACGCTGCCTCGTATCTCAGTTAATGCAGACAGCAAACTGTCTCCACCGTACTTAAATACCTCTGGAGTCATTCCATCAGGTCCCACTGCTTCGCCTTGTTTCAGATTAGTGACAGCTTTAGTAACCTCAGTTAGGGACGGAGGTGTTGGATGTTTGGCAGGTTGAGCGTGGCTGTAGGCCAATTAAACTGCTGCTCATAGTGTTCCTTCCAGCGTTCCAGTGGTCTACCCTGGGGGCTAATAATGGTGCCATTTATCTCAGAGATTGTTTCACTTATCATTTGCCTTTTACCACCTGTTTCCCTGATAAGCCTAAGTAGTTGTTTGGTGTTACCGGGACTTGAACTGAACGGGTTATTTGCATTTGACAGGTTTCATTCTTAGAGATGAGATGCGATCTGATAATTAAAATGGTGTGAGTAAAGTGGGAATTTATTCGACACCTATATAAACTAGACTGTAGCTAGCTAGCTATCTAACAAGATACAAGATTCATTCTGAACAACAAGGGTCTGGCATACGATAAAATACTAGTAGTAGTTTTTTATTGATCACTTGTCAGTAACTAGGATAATGTGTCTAATCCTATCTTTGGTGCAGACTGAATCGATCACAAGCCCGAATAGATCAGTGGTAACATCTCTGACTGAAAAGCTCACTGGGTGACACGGGTTCGAGTGTCTCAGAAGGGATATAAGAAGTGCCTTCAAGACTGCAGATACGCCTCGCTGACTGACTGGTGACTGCCAACTAGCACGAAACCTAGATCTAAGGCTTCCTGTGACTGACTGCCTCCAACCATCTAATACCAATGCTAGTCATTTTGCACAATATAAGCAATCCCTGTAGTCCCTGAAGGCAATTTTGACAAGAAAGAAATTTTCAATCCAGTAGTTGTTCTATTAATGTCTATCAAAACTTGTAACACCTCCCCCCCCCGCCCCCACACACACATACAACATAATAATATCAAAACTGACTATCACAAAAATAAGACATTTCACATATCAGTTGGAATACACAGACAAACACACACGTACACATACACCACAAACAGAATCGGGAACCATGCAAATAAGGCGGAGGGTTAAAAGAAATTGGCACAAAAAGAGAGAGAAGACCAAGCAGTTAAAGAGAGAAATCTAATCTCCAAGGAAGAAGTAATTCCCGCTCTTTTTCTGATCAACATCTTTCACTGAATTCAGTTTGTTTATTCTTGGTCTAGCATTGGTTGGATCCCTCCTGAATGTGATATCAAGTGATTGTAAGAATTTATTCATCCCAGTGACTAGATTCTGTGGTCTGTAACAAAGAAGTGAAAAATATTAATAATATTTTAATTTTGAATTCCTAGTAGCCTGGTACTCAAATGAAAACGCAATTAATAAACACGTTAATATAGATGAAATATACCAACTAATAAAAAGTAAATCAGGTGATCAGAAAGTTTACAATCCCAATCAATAGAAAACGGTCAAAACATATCTAAAGATGGTTACCGGGAGACTGATGAAGAAATTTAAATCATTTCACTTTATCCTAAATACTACGCTGAAGATGTCGTCCAGAAAGACGATGAAAGCTTCGCAATTAAACCAAGGAGGTCAGAGAACACTATCAATTGCAAATATTTTAATTTGTCAGATAGTGATGTGTAGTGCAAAGCTGAAATGAAGTAGATCAGCATTTTTGTATCACGATTTCATCCTCAAAAGCAACTGTACAATCACATTTTTATACATAAGTTTACATAGTCACAGTCACTATTATTATTATTTATTATTTTTCAGGAGTTGGTTTGTAAGGATTAGATTTGCATTTTTTTTAACGAGTTTGACCACGGATTGATATCAGTTGGAGAACCACTGAAAACCAGCTAAGACTACGAGTTAAACTTGTCACCAGAAAGTCCTGAGTTCGAACCCTGGCGATGGGTGAGGAATGCCGATGAGTCCCAAACTTGGCCGACGAAACTGCTGTCTAGTACTCCTAGCTAGTTTTCAATAGTTCTCTAACTGACAACAATCTGTGGCCAAACCTAGAAAAAGAAAAGCAAATCCATACAAACGTGCTCTACGACTTCACTGCCTATTTCTAAGCTAGGAGTCAGTGTAATCCAATCCTGTAACATCATCTTACATTTGGCGGGAACGAATTGCACGTCAAACATTCGAAGATTGCTGTTCCTCAAGGTGTCTAGAAGACTCTGCATTTTGTCAGCGTCCTCACCTAGAAGGAATATATATCGTCTGCTCTCACCTGGCTGCATGACTTCGAGTAGATTGTCTAATGAATTAGTAGATTCACGATAAAATGAATATATATGGTATGTCAGTGTCACACACACACTGACGACAAAGATATCATTCATTGAAAACTTACGTTGTTGCTGTTGCCTTGAGACCCGGTTGACCATCAAATACAACAACACGATCAGCTAAATACGTGGCCATAATAAAATCATGTTCAACAATGAAGGCGGTCTTCTTTGCATGCAGAATAAAACGTTTTATCACTTTAGCAGCATGTAAACGTTGTTCAGAATCTAAATAAGCTGAAGGTTCATCGATCAGGTAGACATCAGCAGGCTGTCCAAGACAAAGAGTAATTGCCAATCGTTGTAATTCACCACCGGATAAATTCATTACCTAAATAAAAAAAAATATATATTATATAAATGACAGAAGGAAGAAAACAGACAAAAGCTAAGGTGAAAACAATGATAACAGTAGGGGTTTAATTAGGAAAATGTTTTGTAGCTTAGAAAAACAACACCTAACTAACTGCATACTACTATTATGAAGTGACTATTCCCTACCAGTATAGTATACACGATTGATAGGCCTGCTGAGAAGTAAAAATATACAATTGCATAGTAGAAGATTAACTCTACGATAAAAGAATATTTAAATTATAAAAAAAAAACATTTTACACACACTGACTAGTGTATATTTAACAATAATAAAACATGTATCATTCTAATACACAATCAGATTTTAACAGATTCTCGTTTATCAGATAAGCCAGACACAGTAGATGAATGCAGTTCTGTTTATTATTATTATTATTTGAACAAAACAAGAACTACAGTTTTAGTACAATATAGTGGTACCATCTTTTATTTCGTTGTCTTCTCGTCAGCTGCTTACAAGCCAAAGACATTTTTAAATATATCTACAAAAACAATTTTAACATACTTGCACAGAGTTCATTTTATACAAAAATCAATCAACCAATATATGCATACAGTAATAATATATACGTGGATATACATGCAATATTAAACACTATTCCGAACAACAATAATAATCATACACAATGGAAACTTTTCACTAATTCGCATTCAAATGAAAGAGAGATGGGTACCGTCAAAGGTTCATCAACAAGTATGGAAGATCTGAAGTCATAAATGTAAAACAAATCACAGTGGGTAAAAAGCCAATCTACATTCAGCTTGATTATAAAGGTGAAAACAGTGCAACGATGATCAATACAATGCTGAGTACATCACTAGCCGTAGCCTATCCTGCAGCTACGCTCGTCCTTGTCTATCGAACAACTTGCTCTTTGGTGCAATCAAAAATCCATATATATACCTTCTCATGTTAACTCCAACTGTATGTACAAATTTACATGTATCTGCGGGAGCAGTTACATTGGAAGGACAGAAAGAAGGGCATATCTACGATTTTCTGAACATGTACCAAAAAGCTTATGTCTAAAGGAAACAAATGCTTTAAACAGTGCTATCGCCAGGCATCTCCTCAACATGGGTAAAGAGGTGGACGTCGAAAAGTCGTTCAAAATTATCAATAGGCAAAAGAGCTCAATTATCCTCACGTTTACTGAAGACATTTCCATCAAGTGCCTGAAAACTGATTTATGCGTTCAGAAAGAAGCGGTTATCAGTCTTTCTTTGCCCTGGTAACTGGATATTTTTCATCTCTCTTTCATATGAATGCGAAATGCTGAAAAGTTTCCGTTGTGTATGATTATTATTGTTCGGAATAGTGTTTAATATTATAATATACATAATTGCTGTATGTATATACTGATCAATTGATTTTTGTTTAAAATGAACTCTGTGAAAGTATGTTAAAATTGTTTTTGTAAATATATTTAATAATGTCTTTGGCCTGTAAGCAACTGACGAGAAGGCAACGAAATGAAAGATGGTATCACTTTATTCTGCTAAAACTGTAGTTATTGCTTCGTTCAAATTCATTAAGGGGAATAGATGTATGCAATTATTATTATTGTTCCTTTGGGTTCCGAGTGGGCTTCAACAGCTTATGTCCATTATGTTCGATTCCCTCCACTATTCTTTAGCTCTAGTATACTACGATTACCTGTAGTGGCTGATCTCCTGCATATCATTCTCGGACCAACTTCCAACTCTGTTTCATATTTTTTTGTTCCAATAGACCCATGGTCTAGAGTGCGATGTTACTAAACAGTCTCTTCAGTGGTATGTGCGCGAACCGTCTCCATTCTTTCCGACAGATTTGTTGACCAACAGGTTCCTGGTTAGTTCTGTCCCAGAGTTTCCTGCGCTGTTGATTCTTTCTAACCAGCCATTTGATCTTCAGGGTAAAGCCGGAGAAGGCAACTATTGATAAAAGCCTGTAGTGACTTGTTGGAAATCGTTCTTTTCGTTACTCGCTGGCTATGTTTCTGATCGATAAAGAGGAACGTTTGTGTTGAAAATCCCAATCATGTTCTTTATGTTAGCTGAGCGTAGAGGATTTCTTAACTGGTTTCAGATTGATGATAGTGAAGACGTATCTTGCCTTTCTGATTCTGGCTGGCTGGTTAACTGACTTTGACATCTACATCTGTTCCGATTGCCTGTGTTTGAAATGCTGCTTCCTAGATAAGTGAAGGGAGAGTAACCTCCATCAAAACTTTCTCATTGATAGTGATTGGTGCTGGTTGTTGTTGTTGGTTGGTTGGTTCAACTTTATCACCTCCGTCTTCTTGATGTTCACCTGGAGTCATGTATTCGCTGTCAGCCTCTTCAGATAATTTTTTGGTTTTCACCTCTGCAAGTCTTCAAGTTTGTGTGACATTCGAAACAGATCATCCACCAAGTTCAGATCTACTAGAGTGAATCTTCTTATCGATCTAGCGTATTTGGATCTCTTCTCGCTCCCCACGCGCACACGGTGTACCGCATTAATCAAAGTTCACCTCAAATTAGAAAAATCATCGCTGATAATAGGCAGTCGGAATGAATTTTTGTTTTCAACTAATTCTGTTGTCTCAATAATAATAATAATAATAATAATAATAATAATAATAATAATAAATCCGAAATACATCTGATATATTCAGGTGTTATTGTAAAGCTGTTTCACTTTTTTACGTCTATAAGGCTATTAATAATGAAAACTGATTATCAATATGTGTAAAACTTGGCCACTATGGTAGGAAGTAATTCCATATTTATTTGTTTATTAGATGTTTCACACAGTAAGTGAAACAGTATTATTTACTGGATGACGTTTCGAACAAAATTTATTGTTCATAACCATACCACATAAATTATAAACACACGACTTCGAAACTTGAGTTTTATAGTTTCCTTTGTCCTCTCCTATTTGTCGTCGTTGGGGTAGTAGAATTTTCCAGATATCTGGGTGGACAGGTGTTGAATCATTCCTATGACACGCGTTTGTAGTCGATTCGATAAACAAAGCTTCCGTTGTTATCAGTCTCTCCCTCCACCCTGCTGTTACATTAGATTTTAAAACTGTCATCCTATCCCAGCATTATATTGTATGGTTGGGTGTAACTGCATGTAGTGTAGTGCTATAGCTGAACTGTTCTCTAGATTTCTTATCTTATTCGGATCTAGAGAAATAAGTGAAATGTTTAAGTGTTAGAGCGCAAAAACTAAGTAGTACCAAGGGAAATCTAAGACAGAAAGTGATACACACATAAGAGAAGTCTTCAAACTTAATAATTACCCTGATAAATTAGTCAAGAAATAAGTAGGGAAATGTGAAAGTATAATGTTAGTAATGATAGTGATGATATTAATATTAATAATAATGGCAACATGTATGTACAATATGCGCAATACAACACCAACAATAGGGAATCTAAATCATCAGAAGTAATTCCATACCAGGAAGGAACCTCGGATTTGTATTGAAAAAAAACAAGATAACAAAATTCGGATTTTCAATACAAACAACGTCCAGTCAGTCACTTCTTCTATACAGATCAAAAACTTGGCGGGCGGGTCACAAAGAATATTTCCAACAGCCTGTTGCAGACCAGACCTTTATCAACCAACAACTGTCTTCGCTGGATCTATACTGAAGATCAGATGGCCAGGCCGGAAAGAATCACCAACAAGAAACTATGGCTAGGAACAAACAAACAAAACAAGAATCAATCGCCAACCAACAAATATGCAGGAGAAAGTGGAGATGGATTGGACACTCGCTGAGGAGGCCACTAGGTGACATCGCGCGCGTCAGGCGGTTGGTCGAGTGGAACGAGGCCGAAAGGGAAGCGGCGAGTGGGACGTCCAAGGGAGGGTGACATGCAGGAGATCGTGTGACGAGGATATAAAACAGTATCGACTAACATAGATGCAGGTGAAAAGTACAGCAAAAGGACGACAGAAGCAAGTGGAGATGTGAAGCTGAAGCCGTATGTTCCACTAGGAACCCAAGGGAACAACAAGGCACCTCAGAAACCTCACGCAGAATTCTCAACAAGGCAGGAATAAAAGTGGCTGGCATTCAAACCAACCACAAACTCAATTGGAAACAAGCTTTGTCGGCTAAAGGATCAATCTTGTGGAGCCTTTAAAACAAAACAATTTAGTTTATCTGATTCCCTAATGGAATGACTGTCAGGTCAAATACACAGGTCAAACTAGTAGAACACGAGCAGTTAGACTAGCCGAACATAAAAATCTAACAGAATCTAGATTGGTTGACCCAAATAAGATAAGGAATCTAGAGAACAGTTCAGCTATAGCACTACACTACATGCAGTTACACCCAACCATACAATATAATGCTGGGATAGGATGACAGTTTTAAAATCTAATGTAACAGCAGGGTGGAGGGAGAGACTGATAACAACGGAAGCTTTGTTTATCGAATCGACTACAAACGCGTGTAATAGGAATGATTCAACACCTGCCCACCCAGATATCTGAAAAATTCTACTACCCCAACGACGACAAATAGGAGAGGACAAAGGAAACTATAAAACTCAAGTTTCAAAGTCGTGTGATTACAAATGATTTGATTATGAACAATAAATTTTGGTCGAAACGTCATCCATTTAATAATAATAATACTGTTTCACTCACTGTGTGAAACATCTAATAAACAAACCAATAGGGAAAAATTTATTATCCTACCTAGAAAGAATATTTTATATACGAACTGACTGACTGACTGACTATTTTCAACATAGAACTTTGCACAAATGTACAGCAGTTCGAGTTACCGCACTCTCTCCATGTAACACAACACAAAGCAAAAGAAGAGAGCAATGAGACAGATAATCAAACAAAAGTGTGGACGAGGCGAAATGAATAGTAATACGGATGAACAATAGAACTTTAATGAATATCATAAATCACAAAGAGTGAATGCATCTGCGCCAGCCAGCCAGCCAATATAAACCAATTTTCAGCCATATCACCAATTGTCTCCAGCCACCTTCATTGGTTTCTACCAACCTGAGGACCCCAACTAGACAGTAGTCGACACCTCCCGACGTGGCTGACTGACTTAAACTAAATGTAGATTTTATTGAGTGATAAAGCTATGTTTTGGTTTGACCATTACTAGCTGTCTCGTTTTCAACCTTATCTTGTGTCAGTCAGCTAACAGTGCCCATCAAGATATATATATATATATATATACGAACAGTATTTTAAGACGTATTTATATTGTGTCCAAGAGTGACAGACATACAAGATCATTGACATTAAACTAATTTTCAAGTATTGGTTTTGTAGGGATTTTGTTTGATTGCATGGAGAATGAGGCAGTAACTCATCGAAGAAGACATTGCGAAATGATCGCGCTATGTCGTGAATTGGCTGAAGTTAGAATTCAAAGACTAGCGGATCGGGTCGCAGTGGCTCAGTGGTCTACGAGCTCGCCATGTAACCAGAAGGTCCTGGGTTCGAACCCCGGTGGATGCGTAGTGCTGAAGAGTCCCAAACTAGGACGAAACAGCTGTCCAGTACTCCCGGGTGGTTTTCCAGTGGTTCTCTAACTGATGTCAGCTCATGTTAAAATCCTCCATGCAATTAAACTAGTTAGCTTGGATTTCACACACCTGATGTGCAAAGCGGTACGTGTTTATATGAAATATCTTGAGGTTATGATTAGATAATATTTCGTGGCAACTCGAACTGCTGCACTTCGGTGCCAAGTTCTATGTTGAATCCAGAGAGACAGACAGATAATACTTAGGTACTGTAGTAGTGCCTTAAAGTGACAGTTATAAGAAAATTTTAAACATCATCTATATTGCAGTGTTACAAATCAATTAAAAAGTGTGTAATGATTAACAGTGAAATATGTTCAAAAATATTTTCAGACAAAAATATCCCTGAACTTTTAGCGTTAACTACTACTACACTAGAAAAACCAGAGAGTTGTAACAGAAATAAGAAAAACACGACTACTGACTGAGTATAACAAGACACAACACATACAACGCATAGAGTCTTATCGATCGATCTACGTGTAGCTTGTGGTACATAAATTGTAAGAAATAAAACACACTCAAGAGTATGAGATTGTTGTCTTTTCTCTCTCATGTTACCCCCCCCCACCCCCGCAAACCAAATGCCATGAGGTGGGTATTTATTTTTCTCAAAAAACAAAAAACACACAACAAATTGAGCTATTTATAATTTACACGCAATTTACGTTGAAAAGGTGCTTGAAAAGTTAAAAAAAGAACACATATTCAAATAATTTGAGATATGTTGTAAGACAGCAATCAATCTTAAGGATGAAATTACGAAAAAAACATGTATCCAGGGTGTACTACTACTATTACTACTAATACTAGCGACTATAACAAAAATAACCTTCAGTTGAGAAATAGTGAGTTGTTCAAATAATATATATTAGAACGGGTGGGTTTTGAATTGACTCAGCACTCTTGATGAAACGTGCGAGGTTAGTTTATGTACTGCATCTAAATTCAGGTGGTTTTAGTATGAGTTCCTCTGAATGGTTGATGAAGATCATCATTACATTCGTTTACTTGGGTCCTTCATTTGCATAGTTAATGTTTAGAGTTACCCGCCCACCACTCCACCGCCGTCTTCACCGGGATTACTACCGGCTTAGTGAGGTTTAAGAGTGCGTCACCTCGGAATCGAACCCTGGATCACATGAGGTTTAGTTGGCGAGTATTCTACTGTTGAACATCCACCGACGCACTTGAAACGTTCAATTCGCTTTATTGTTTTATACACACACACGATCTCCTCCGTGTCACTCTCGCACCGAAGACCCACTAATCCTCGCTTCCCATTCGGACTCCACTCGAGCAATGGAGTGTAATGAGCAGCGACATGAAATTCGACGGCCTCCTTAATTAACGTATGCTCGATCCATCTTTATTTCCTCCTACATATTTGTTGAGCAATCGGCTCTCGCTTGTTCGTTTGTTCCCAGCCAGAGTTTCTTGTTTTTAATTTTTTCTGGCCAGGTGGCCTGCCCCATTTGATCTTCAGTACGGAGCCAGCCAGCGAAGAGGTGGTGTGGTGAGAGCAAGCTGTTAGCCAATTGATAGACATTAATTTACGTCAATGTCTAGGTCACTAATATTGGCTGCGAGAAAATATGAACAAGGCTGATTCAAAAACCAATCACAGCAGACTTAACGTGGGCAAATAAGATTCGCGAATATATGGCTTAACTTTCCGAGAAACCAGAAACAACCAATCAGAAGACTGTGTTTGTCTCCTTAAATAAGCCATAATAATGTACATGAAATATATATATATATATATATATATATATATATATATACGTGCTGATTTCCGTAATAAAACGATCTGTTGCCGGCCCTTGTAGTCTGTTGTTACAGTGGCAGCTGTTGATGAAAGTCTGTTGTGACTTATTGGAAATCCTTTTCGTTACACACTCTTTCTGACTGACTTCACCTTTGTGTAGAACATAATCCGAATCTTGTTCTTTATGCCAGATGAGTGACAGCAGATTTCCAAACAGGCTTCAGGTTGATGGTGACGGCGTATCTTGCCTTTCCGATTCTGGCTGGCTGGCTGACTAGCTGGTTTTGACATCTACATCCGTTTCGACTGCCTTTGGTTGAAACTGTGTATCAAATCTCTTCCGTTGATGGTGATTGATTGGTGCTAGTTGCTGTTAGCTATCTTCATCACTTCTATCTTTCCTACGTTTACTCGAAGTCGTGTCTTTGCTGTTTGACGGCTTCTGCCAGTTTATTGGTTTTTGCTTACTTGCAATTCCTCAAGTTTTTTGTGACATTAGGCATAAATTATCCACACGCAAAATTCACACCCTTCTTCAAGTTTCCTTATCGATTTATAGCGTATTCTTGCATTCTTGCTTCGTACATTCTGACGTAATACTCGAGGCAGCAGTAGTCTACTACAATTAAGAATATCATCGTAAGCGATAATAGACAGTTAGACTTTTTCTAACTCTTGCACTCACTTCGATTCAAAAGCCTCATTGAGTTTTCAGTGAGAAGGCGAGAAACACAATCACTAGCAACCTGAAACCAATCTGGAAATCTTCGTCACTCAGCATCAGCAACAAAATCAAGTCGGATTTTCAATACAAACAACGTCCAGTCAGTCAGTTCTTTTATACAGATCAAAAACTTGGCGGGCGGGTCACAAAGAATATTTCCAACAGCCTGTTGCGGACCAGACCTTTATCAATAAAAAACTGTCTTCGCTGGATCTATACTGAAGATCAGATGGCCAGGCCGGAAAGAATCACCAACAAGAAACTATGGCTAGGAACAAACAAACAAAACAAGAACCAATCTCCAACCAACAAATATGCAGGAGAAAGTGGAGATGGATTGGACACTCGCTGAGGAGGCCACTAGGTGACATCGCGCGCGTCAGGCCATCGGTCGAGTGGAACGAGGCCGAAAGGGAAGCGGCGAGTGGGACGTCCAAGGGAGGGTGACATGGAGGAGATCGTGTGACGAGGACATGAAACAGTATGAACTAACATGGATGCAGGTGAAAAGTACAGCAAAAGGACGACAGAAGCAAGTGGAGATGTGAAGCTGAAGCCGTATGTTCCACTAGGAACCCAAGGGAACAATAAAAATACTGAGTTTCCGCGTTGTCGATCATTTGACACGTGGCAGGCATTATCATACACCCAACTGTTGAATGAAGTTGTTCTGTCTGTCTGTCTGGATTCAACATAGAACTTGGCACCGAAGTGCAGCAGTTCGAGTTGCCACCTTCCAAATAGCACAGAGGTAGACAAGAAGATGAGTGAAGAGAATTTATAGAGTTTGACAGATATAAGAGTGAAACAGAATGGGTAATGGTAGAAAGGAATATGAAAGATTACAGAGATTGAATACATCTGCGCCATTGACAACGATTTTGAGCCATGTCACCTATTGTCTCCAGCCATTGATTCCTAGAGTCCCGAGGGCCCCAACCCGGGAGTCTGCATCTCCCTACCTGACTCAGTTTAACTGTCAAGGATTTCATGGATTGAAGCCATGTTTTTGTTTGGCCACCACTGGCTGTTTTCCAACCTGAACCTCATCCAATACCATGATCCAAACAAATTCACAAAATGAAGTTGTTATAGAGACTCTGGGCAATGAACACTGCATAGTGTTGAAAAATGAATTAAATAGGCTACCACTAATACAGACTTTCTTGTTCTCACTACTCACACCCAAATGATTACATATACGTAAAACAAATACAAAAAATAAGTTTTTTTTAAAAATTTAGATTAACATAATATTACCACCACCACCACTTACCTGTTGATCATACAATCGTTCCATTTGTAATGGTTTAAGTACATCTGTTGAAAACTGTGGATGTGTGAATGAATCTCGTATTTTTTCCAACAATAAATTTTGTACAGTTTTTTCTGATTTTGGACTAATTTTTTGCGGTTTATACGATACATGTAACACTGGACATTTTTCCTCTCCATCAGGCTTCAGATTACCTGCCAACATTCGTATAAAGGTTGTTTTCCCCGTACCATTCTCTCCAAGCATAACAATAATTTCAGAGTCAGTAAATGTACCAGCTTCCACGGTCAAATCAAATGTACCTAAACTTTTATACATAGTTGGATAATCATAACGAGCAGTCCGTTTCAATTCTTCTTCATTACCAGTTTCAGATACCTAAGAATTCAAAAAAAACAAAAAAAAGTTGCTATACTGCACTTAAATAAACAACATAGATTATTAAAAGTATATTAAACTTTTAATTGAATTTTAGGTTTTTCCGTCGATTGATTGAACCGAAGTGCTCGGTCTCAGGTTGACATGTCGGCTTCTTCTTGTGCAGATGGATGCTTCAACGATGTCTGGGCATGTAATTAGAATTTAATCGGTGGATGGTGACTAGCAGTGTAATCCAGGAAGCGCATTTCGTCCTATTTGGGCCTCGTCATCCGGACGTACATGCATTTTTTCAGTGAGTCATGTCCCCACCACTGAGGCTCAAATCCAGTGCCTATAGCATTTCGGTCCAATCAATCGACGGGAGAATCTAAAAAATTCAGTTAAATTACAATGACCCGTTGCACAAGGGCTCTGGTGGCCCAAGTAGTCTAATGGATAAAGCTTTGCCGTTTGAAACTATACGCACTGGGCTCGAGCCTCGGTGGTGGGAACATGATCACTCACTGGAAATGCAGGTACATCCGGCCGACGAGTCCCAAATAGGACGAAATGCGCATCCTGGATTTCACTGCTAGTCACCATCCACCAATTAAATTCTATATTACACTTTGATTGGACACTAGTAACTGGTGTTGTAACGACAGAAGACAAGAGCCAGGCAACATATCGTTTATTGAGAAAATCAACAACAGGTATTTATAGATTTTTTTATGTGCAATATTATCAGCGCTATTGCTAGAGGAGAAGTAACCTCTTCTGATTGGTTGTTGTTTTCTTGCTGAAGGTTATCTCTTTACGGGCGTTTCTCAAAAAATCGAGTCTGTCTGTCTGTCTTCGACACTGAACTTTGCACAAATGTGCGGAAGTTCAAGTCGCCACACTCCGTGTAGCGCGCGAAGCAAGAGAAGAAAGTACAAGAAAAGCATAACAGAGACAGTAAGCAGAGGTTCGAGACAAAGGAAGAGTAATAACGAAGAACAAAACAGTTTCATTGGTGGAGATCATAAGTCACAAGGAGTCGATACATCTGTGCCAATCCATTGAGAACGATTTTGAGCCATGTCACCAATTGTTTCCAACCATTGATTTTTACCGTCCCGAGGACCCCAGCCTGGAAGTCTACAGCTTCCTACGTGGCTTAGACCAACTGTTGTGGATTTCATTGACTGGTGAATCCAAGTTTTTGTTTGACCGCCGCTAGCTTTTTTCCTGCCTGACCCTATATCCGCTAACATTCCTCGTCGAAGGAGGCGACGACTTGGCATACGCAACACATGTCCTAACCATCTCAGTCTTTGTAACTTCACGACTTCGTCGATTGATTTCCCCTCCCTACCTAGAACTCGACGCCTAACTTCAATGTTCCTCACCTTATTATGCCACTTTACACGGGAAATAGAGCGCAGGCATCTTTGATCAAAGACAGCTAGTCTTTTCATGTCTTCCACTCTCAGTGGCTAGGTCTCACAACCATAAAGGAGGACGGAGCGGACTGATGAGCAGTACACCCGCCCTTTGGTCGATAGTCGAATATCTCGTCTACGCCAGAGATGGTGTAAACTGGCAAATGCGAAACCAAAAAAAAGTTAAAGTGTGGAAATATGATTCTCAGATATATGACAAAAAATCAAGTCTTGCAATTAATCAAGTCATATATCTGAGAATCATATCTCCACACTTTAATTCCGCCGGGATTAGCTGGTGATTTTCTCTAACTTAAAGCTTTGTTATGGTGTTTTTTCCATGACCCTGATTCAGGACGTAAGCATTGACGTAAATTGTTGTCTACAATTTATAGCTTGCAGGCCGCTCTCATCACAGTGTGGTGTGTGTCTAGTCCTGGTCTTTGGGTGCAGACTGAATTCTATCAGTCAGGTTTGCAACGTGGGCACCATGCCATGGTCACAAGCAATCGGCAGGAATCCTTGAACACCACTTAGGTTTCCTGCCAGTTGGCACTCACCAGTCAGCAAGGCGTATCAGCTGAAGGCGTACCTGTCTGCACAAAAGTGAGGAATAGACACATCACACTAATACTAACTAGTGTCCAATCTAGGGATCCATTACAGTCCTACAAGAGATAAATCGCGAGTCCAAATAACTGATTAGTAACGTCTCGGACTGCAGCATTGAGTGACGCGGGTCCGAATCTCCTCAGGAGAGGGACATGAGTTCCTTCAAGATGAATGCAAATACGCCTTTCTGACTGATGAGTGCCAATTAGCACGAAACCTAGGTGGTGTTCAACAAGGCCTCCTGTGGCCAACTGCCTCCAACCATCTAATAGCATATTACACTGATAACTTGAGACAGTTTAAGCAACTTGATATGAAAGTGATAACAGAATTTAGCATATAACATCATCATTTAGTTGACAGCTACACGTGTAACATCAGAAGACAAGAGAATTCGATAACACAGAACTATTTTATTGGCAAGGCTGATATAGGTGGTAAACTACATTTAGCGTGTATTTGAATCACACAGTTGCATATATCTCGCGTATTGTGCTTCTTCGTGTGTTTTTCATGTCTTCTAACTTATTCCACAATCATCCTTCATTAAATCAATCTCTGCTTTATTCGATATTCCTACAGCTGGCACATATTTATATCTGCATCTATATACTACTTATACATTTTGTCAGTAGCAAACGCAATGCAACAAGTGTTAAGTTATGTACCTTATTATTTGATGGCTGCAGTTAATAACTGTTCGCGAATTTAAAAAAAATATATAAACAACATGAACTTTGAAGTATTTTGGTGAATGTTGACTAACAGTGTAGGAATCCAGGATGAGCATTTCGTCTTACTTGGGACTTATCAGCGAGTGGATGTACATGAATTCGTCTGTGTCTCTCTACGACTATGCCACCAAAAGTTGTATCTGGTAAGGCTGCGAAGAAGGCATCCAAGGCTAAATTGACTAAGGGTAACAAGAAGAAGGAGAAGAAGAGGAGGAAGGGAGAGCCACGCCATCTACATCTACAAAGTCCTCCGTCAAGTCAACCCTGACACTGGTATTTCATCCAAAGCCATGTCAATAATGAACTCCTTCGTCAACATTTTCGAACGCATTGCCACCGAGGCAAGCAGGTTGTCGCACGACAACAAAAAGTCAACCATCTCAAGCCGCGAAGTTCAGACAGCTGTCCGTCTCTTGTTGCTTGGTGAGCTTGCTAAGCACGCCGTGTCAGAAGGAACAAAGGCTGTTACGAAGTACAGTGGCTCGAAGTAAAACATTCCGCCAGAAGTAGAAAACGCTACCACAGCCCTCTTAAGGGCTACTTGCGTCGGTGCCACAGTGGTTAGAACTCTCGCCGACCATACACATGGTCTGGGGTTCGATCCCCTGCCGACGCACACCCGATATCAATGGTCGGCCTGCAAAATTTGGGCTACAGATATCCATGCTGAAAATTCAATACTTGTTCCAAAAATACACTGTGGAATCAAGCTGTAATCGAAAATAAAACTGAAACTTCAGCCCCGGGGCCATTTGTTTAAAACACCAAAGACTTATCTACTAGACCACGTCAGCCATGAAAGCCATCTCTTCTGCAACAGGTATCACATTGTTACTCGTCCCAAATACGACGAAATATGCATCCTGTGCAAATGTATTGCACTGCACTGCACCAAGTAACAACATCATGGTAATCCATTAGAGATCATTAAAAAAAAGCAACCGTACTAAGAGCCAACATGTGTCAAAAAAGGCTGAACATTTCCGTCCAACCAATCAACAGGAAAATGCAAAGTTCACTTAAATCAATAATAATAACACACCGTTTTTCTATTCTATTTACTTTGACAATTATTGAGCGACCTTACATATCTCACACTTTCTTACCTTAGAAACTGAAAACGTCATTATTAATTCATTATTCATGAATGTCTGTTACGTAATGTGTAGCCAGATTTATAGTAAAACCGATCGATAAAGAATGTTAGCTTTATTATTACGTCTATCATTTTAAGTTCACTTGAATAAGGGAAGAACAACAGGTTCTACAGAACAAGATGATACCTTCACATTTATTTTGTTGGCTTCTCATCAGTAGAGCACCATTCAAATCATAGAAACAAGAGACAAGTAAAGTCACACTATCTGCAATTAATAGTGTTCTCTGAGCTGATTGGTTTAGTTGCAGAGATTATTTGGAGTATACCCATAAATTAATAAACAACATATTTGAAGACATCCAATTCACAGGAGAAGAACAATTAGACAACAAAATTCCATTCTTAAATGTCTTAATCAACAGAACTAACACATGAAATCTGGAAACACAAGTATACAGAAAATCAACACACACACACATAGATCAAATAATCAACTATAATCTGTCTGTCTGTCTGGATTCAACATAGAACTTGGCACCGAAGTGCAGCAGTTCGAGTTGCCACGTTCAAAATAGCACACAGAGGTAGACAAGAAGATGAGTGAAGAGAATCAATAGAGTTTGACAAGTATAAGAGTGAAACAGAATGGGTAATGGTAGAAAGGAATATGAAAGATTACAGAGACTGAATACATCTGCGCCATTAACAACGATTTTGAGCCATGTCACCTATTGTCTCCAGCCATTGATTCCTAGAGTCCCGAGGGCCCCAACCCGGGAGTCTGCATCTCCCTACCTGACTCAGTTTAACTGTCAAGGATTTCATGGATTGATAAGGCCATGTTTTTGTTTGGCCACCACTTACTCTTTTCCAACCTTCACCTATATCAGCTAGCAATGCCCGTTGGGGGAGGCGGTGGTTAGGCATGCGCACCACGTGACCTAGCCATCTTAGTCTATGTAACTTTATAGCCTCGTCGATTGATTTTCCCTCTTTGCCCAACACTCTACGCCTAACGTCAACATTACTTACCTTATTAAACCACCTAACGTGAGACAGAGATCGCAGACATCTGTGATCGAAAGCAGTCAACCTTTTCATGTCTTCAACGCATATTGGCCATGTTTCAGAGCCATAGACAAGGACGGA